TGATCTGCCTGCCACGGCCTCCCAGAGTGCTGGGATTACAGGCCTGAGCCACCGTGCCTGGCCCCCATATTCTAGTTTTAATCGATGTGAATCCATTTCTTCCCTGGGACACAGTTCCTTTTTAAATATATAAGTCTATATCTCTTTTCCAGTAAAGTCTTTTAAAATTATATTTAAAAATTTTTTTTTCTGTTCAAATTTTCTGGGCTTTTTTAAGGGAGACACTAATTACAGATACCCTTTCCATGTCTTATGCACGTTCTTCCCAGTCTGATTTCCATGTGTATTAATTTTCCTAAAATCAATTTTAACTTTTTTTTTCTTTCAGAATTTTCTCAAATATGTCATCCATATAGTTTATTCTCTTTTCTGTGAATCCATTTGCTTTACTTTATTTTCCATTTCTTTCCTCAACTCCGTTAATTCATTGTCTTTTTATTTCATCTTAGAGTTCTTTCATCTTGACTTCAAACTGTCATTTCAAAGAAATATTTTTTTTTTCCATTAATTTACCTTTTGTGTGGAGAACATCTCGGTTACAATTTTTATCTGTTGATGGCAAATGTTTTCAAAGTGATACTTCATCTTCACTTTTGATCATTTGTACATACTGCTTTTTCCTGAAGCAGATTGCATAGATCCAATAATTAAATAATTATTTATTATTATTACTTTTATATATATTATTATATAAATTATATATATCATATATAATTATATACTTTTATTATTATTACTCCTCTCTACATTTGGAAGTTCATCTTTTCATAAAGGTGTTATTCCCTGGGTTGTTGTGAATTAGGGCCAGAGAAGGGCTGGGGCAGACAGCTTGTAGCAGGTACCTCATGTTCTCCTCTGCCTTCAGAGAGCTCCTTCATTGCCACTCAGCCATGTGAACATGACTGCTATGGGCCAGCAGAGTATCTCTCTGGATCTCAGGGAAGTTACCACTGGAAGCTATTTATCGTCGGGGCACACCAATCATTTTTCTTTTTCACTATGTACCTGGCATGTGGTATGTCTATTTGTGTTGATTTTTCTATAGTTTGCAAGTAGTGTGACTCTAGGTCTGTGAATCACCAATAGTTCCTCCTCTAGGCAGCTGCATCAACACACAGCTTCCTACAAAGATGGCTTCCTGCATGTTTTGTCCTTCAGTCCTATGTCCCAGGAACTCTGTGGCATTAGGGTTCAGGGAAATTCCTCAAACTCTTTTGTGCTCTATAATCTTTTCTTCCAAACCAGGGGCCTTTTGTTGGCTCCTCCAGACACACTGTCTGACTTGGAGAATTCTGTGTGCTCTTGGAAATAGTAGCATCCTATCTCCTTTTGATCTAATTTTTACTGTTCTTGGCATCAATTGTTGGGATTACTGGTTATATTCTGGGGCAGATTTCTGTTTTTTCATTTCTGGGAAGATCCAGTTTCCATTTCTGTTTCTCAATCTCCTTGCCGATTTCAGTTGTAATCAGAAATAAGGGGCAGGTAGATACTTATGCTACCATTTTAAACTGGAAGTCACATCATGCACTTTATTAAGTGGTTCTTTAGTTTTGGCCAGAGCATATCTTATCAGCAGTATGATCCCTAGAGAATATTTATGCAAATTGACCTTATAATTTGGAAAAACAAGTATACCAAAACTCCTTTAGAACTTAAATTGCTATAAAGAAAATTGACATAAATAATTTTGCATGGTCTTACCTCAGTAGCTTGTTTACTAGAAATGTCCACCAAGGGACTCTCTTCTGCCCTTGCCTCCCCTGTGCTGTTGGATGTGTTTTCCAGAAGAGGGAGTTGTAGGCTGTCGGACAAACCATTAATCTTCATCAGAAGTTCGTCTAACAGATTTGCAAATTCATCCAAGTAGTAATTCTGAAGGGAAGAAGGTTAGATTAGTAAATGCATTCAAGAATCTCATTATCCCTCTTCCCTCATTATGCGACGCATTTAGGGGTACTATCTGCAGACAGTATTGGGCTATGTTAGGAAACATACTGATCCTGCCTGCAGTTAGAAGACCTGGGTGCTAGACCTGCTCTTATGTCTCTATATCTCAGTGCTTCGATAATAATGTACATATACATATATGCATGTAAATGCTATAGTTAATAATGCCTACATAAAACATTATTGAATGGATTTAAAGGCAATAATGCATAGTGCTACTATGGGAAAATGAGGTCATTCTTTCATCCCTTCAATTAATAAGTCTTTATTGAGCACTGTTAAAAAAAATAAGGCAATAATGAATGGGGAAGCACATGACAGAGAGTAAAGCCCTATCAAAACGTACAGTACCGTGATTTTTTTTTTTTTTTTTTGAGACAGAGTCTCACTCTGTCACCCAGGCTGGAGTGCAGTGGCACAATCTCAGCTCACTGCAAGCTCTGCCACCTGGGTTCACGCCATTCTCCTGCCTCAGCCTCCCGAGCAGCTGGGACTACAGGCGCCCGCCAACACGCTCAGTTAATTTTTTTTTTGTATTTTTAGTAGAGATGGGGTTTCGTCGTGTTAGCCAGGATGGTCTCGATCTCCTGACCTCATGATCCACCTGTCTTGGCCTCCCAAAATGCTGGGATTACAGGTGTGAGCCACCGTGCCCAGCCAGTACCATGATTATATATGACCGCCTTCAGAACCTCACTGGATGATGCTTAAATATCAGCCGATATGGTTTGGCTGTGTCTCCATTCAAATCTCAACTTGAATTGTATCTCCCAGAATTCCTATGTGTTGTGGGAGGGACCTAGGGGGAGGTAATTGAATCATGGGGGCTGGTCTTTCCCATGCTATTCTTGTGATAGTGAATAAGTCTCATGAGATCTGATGGTTTATCAGGTGTTTCTGCTTTCTCATCTTTCTCATTTTTCTCTTGCCGCTGCCATGTAAGATGTGCCTTTCACCTCTCACCATGATTCTGAGTCCTCCCCAGCCATGTGGAACTGTAAGTCCAATCAAACCTCTTTTTGGGGGCTGGGCACTGTGGCTCATGCCTGTAATCCCAGTACTTTGGTGGTCTGAGATGGGTGGATCATGAGGTCAGGAGATCGAGACCATCCTGGCTAACACGGTGAAACCCCGTCTCTACTAAAAATACAAAATAATTAGCTGGGTGTGGTGGCAGGCACCTGTAGTCCCAGTTACTCGGGAGGTTGAGGTGGGAGAATGGTGTGAACCTTGGAGCTGGCAGTGAGCCAAGATCACGCCACTGCACTCCAGCCTGGGCGACAGAGCAAGACTCCATCTCAAAAAAAAAAAAAAGAAACAAAAAACCTCTTTTTGTCCCCAGTTTCAGGTATGTCTTTATCAGCAGCTTGAAAATGAACTAATACACTAATACAGTAAATTGGTACCAGTAGAGTCGGGTGTTGCTGAAAAGATACCCAAAAATGTGGAGGCGACTTTGGAACTTGATGACAGGCAGAGGTTGGAACAGTTTGGAGGGCTCAGAAGAAGACAGGAAAATGTGGGAAAGTTTGGAACCTCCTAGAGACTTGTTGAATGGCTTTGACAAAAATGCTGATAGTGATATGAGCCAAGAAGTCCAGGCTGAGGTGGTCTCAGATGGAGATGAGGAACTTGTTGGGAACTGGAGCAAAGGTGACTCTTGTTACGTTTTAGCAGAGACTGGTGGCATTTTGCCCCTTCCCTAGAGTTCTGTGGAACTTTGAACTTGAGAGAGATGATTTAGGGTATCTGGCAGAAGAAATCTCTAAGCAGCAAAGCATTCGAGAGGTGACTTGGGTGCTGTTAAAAGCATTCCATTTTAAAAGGGAAATGGAGCATAAAAGTTAAAAAAAATTGCAGCCTGACAATGCAGTGGAAAAGAAAAACTCATTTTCTGGGGAGAAGTTCAAGCCAGCTGCAGAAATCTGCATAAGTAGCAAGGAGCCTAATGTTAATCCCCAAGACCATGGGGAAAATGTCTCCAAGCCATGTCAGAGACCCTCATAGCAGCCCCTCCCATCACAGGCCTGGAAGCCAAGGAGGAAAAAGTGGTTTTGTGGGTTGGGCCCAGGTTCCCCGTGCTGTATGCAGCCTAGAGACTTGGTGCCCTGTGTCCCAGCTGCTCCAGCCATGGCTGAAAGGGGCCAATGCACAACTTGGGCTGTGGCTTCAGACGGTGGAAGCCCCAAGCCTTGGAAGCTTCCATGTGGTGTTGAGCCTGTGGGTGCACAGAAGTCACGAATTGAGGTTTGGGAACCTCAGCCTGGATTTCAGAAGATGTATGGAAATGCCTGGATGCCCAGGCAAAAGTTTTCTGCAGGGGTGGGGCCCTCATGGAGAACTTCTGCTAGGGCAGTGTGGAAGGGACCTAGTGGAGCTGTGAGAAGAGGGCCACCGTCCTCCAGGCCCCAGAATGGTAGATCCTCTGACAGCTTGCACTGTGCACCTGGAAAAGCCACAGACACTCAATGCCAGCCCATGAAAGCAGCCGGGAGGGAGGCTGTACCCTGCAAAGCTACAGGGGCAGAGCTGCCCAAGACCACGGGAGCCCACCTCTTGCATCAGCATGACCTGCATGTGAGCCCTGGAATCAAAGGAGATCATTTTGGAGCTTTAAAATTTGATCGACCTGTTGGATTTTGGACTTGTATGGGGCCTATAATCCCTTTGTTTTGGTCAATTTCTCCCATTTGGAACAGTTGTATTTACCCAATACCTGTACCCACATTGTATCTAGGAAGTAACCAGCTTGTTTTGATTTTACAGGCTCGTAGGCAGAAGGGACTTGCCTTGTTTCAGATGACACTTTGGACTGTGTACTTTTGGGTTAATGCTAAAATGAGTTAAGACTTTGGGGTACTGTTGGGAAGGCATTAATTGGTTTTGAAATGTGAGGACATGAGATTTGGAGGGGCCAGGGGCAGAATGATATTGTTTGGCTGTGTCCTGATTCAAATCTCAACTTGAATTGTATCTCCCAGAATTCCCGCATGTTGTGGGAGACCTAGTGGGAGGTAATTGAATCATAGGGGCTGGTCTTTCTCATGCTGTTCTCGTGATAGTGAATAAGTCTCACAAGATCTGATGGTTTATAGTGGGTTCCCACTTTTGCATCTTGATCATTTTTCTCCTGCCGCCGCCTTTCACCTCCCACCATGAATCTCAGGCCTCCCGAGTCCTGTGGAACTGTAAGTCCAATTAAACTTCTTTTTGTTCCCAGTTTGGGGTATGTCTTTATCAGAAGTGTGAAAACGAACTAATACATCAGCCATGGAAGAAAGTGAGTATTCAGTGTGTAAACACCTGGTTTGATTTGTTTACATTCATGTCTGGGATGACCGACTCAAACAATGCACCTAAGGCTCCATGGTTTGGATAGGAGTTTGGGTTTGATAGTAGGCACCAAAAGCAAATGACTAACTCAGAGGACAGAATACAGCATGTCTGTGTCCTGGGGAAGACCATAAACTCTGTCTTTCCAACTGTACAGGTCATTATAAGGCTATAGCGAGTTAATGCAGGAGAATGTGGTTAGTAATCTGTAAAGTGTTTTAGAATTGCAAGGGAAAATTCCATGAGTTGCACTATGATTGAGACTAATTCTGTGGCTTTGCAATGAGATTTGGCATGGAAACATACTCATGCTTTGATAACTGACAGCAAAGTTCTGCAATGAAACCATCACCTTGAGTGTGTGCTATCATGCTCAGTAATCCAAGATCCCATAGCTTACGTGATTCTCAACCATCTCAGCCTCTTCCAGCTTTGGTGTTTCCAGTCTCAGAAAGGTGAGGGTCTTTTCCCACATATAAGCAGTGACATCTTTAAGTCTCACAAGAGATTTACTTTGAAAATATTTTCTTTTTCGGGGTAAAGTCATGAGAAAACCTCTCAGCTAGGAAAAAGAAAAAAATAAAGACAAATTTCATGTTAGCAACCTAAATAAAGAGCCTTGTTAATGTGAAAAACTACACAATGAAGATTATATCTGATGATGCTACTTTGTGACCTTTTGGTAAAATAGTGATTTGTTGGTTAAAAAAAGCAAAATCAGGAAAATACCTCTCCTGAATTGAACTAAATGGCAGTAAGATGATCTCAGCAATGGAAATTCATTGTATTATAAAGGTTGTTTTCAGAATCTAACTTTGAAGACTGAGATTATCAATGCAATGTGCAGGCCTGTAATGTAAAGTCTATGTCTCAGTTTCGGTGTCCCCTGCTGAACCATTCTGAGCTGTGGGTGAGCCTCAGGAGAGAGGCCTGTGCCCGTGCCTGGTAGACCAGAAAGGGTCTTGGGTTCAGCAACCTGTTGTGCCCTCAGCATGTGCTCTATAAGCCTCCAGGTGTTTTATTTCTTCACTGCAGACTGTAAGCTATTAGCTCAAAAGCCTACTGGTACCAAATTCAAATTTTTACACATCCAATTATTTCAAAAATAACCCAAACAATTTTTTAGCCACGTTGAGCCTGTCAGCTTTACACACCCTGCAAAACCTCAGGGGACAGCAGTTACCCACTGATAATGTTATAAGGCCTCAAGCTGCCACTGGCCTCAGGAGCTTTCTGACCCAGAGCCTCCCCTCCATGCTGCCCAGCAGCATCCTCTAAGGGGTAAACTCCCTCTCTGCTGCCCCTCTCCCCTGAGATCTCCCTTGCTCTTCCTCCTTTATGGATTGTTCTTGGCCCCTACACTGTAAACCTGTGGACAGTTTCATAGCATGAGGTAGTTCCCCCACATGGAAACACTTCAAAACATTACCCAAATAAAGTTTGTGTGTGTTATCATCTCTTGTGGTCATATGTGTGTTCTTGATTGGTCCGCAAATCCCTCGAACCCCTCACAAAGTTTCAGAACTCTGCAAAGATGCTCAGGAGCCTGAAAGGGTAGGCCACTGGTGTGTAAGTCTGAGGCCTCCCGGCTTTACCAGCAAAACAGCCACGGGGGATAGCAAGGCCTGACTCTTGCACCCAGAGACCTCCATGCAATATTGCCTGCCTGTCTCAGAAGATAGCATCCAGGTGTCTAAGCATGATATTCAAGGCCCTTCATTCCTGACTCTAACCATCCTTTTCAGCACATTGTCCACTTGACCCAGAACTCCAGCATGGCCCTCGCTGCATGCCCCCTGTTTAAAATGCTGCTCTCAGCAGTTGTCACCATGAGTGGAACTCCTTATCAAGGCTCCCTCTCCTGCTGTGTGAAGATTTCCTGGTCTCCTTAGGAAGAATAAATGAGTCTCTGATCTAAGTTTCTTGCTATTTGAGGACACTTCTGGTTAGGCTTTAAAAGTGCCTATAATTGTGTAAGATCTGTATGCTGAGAACTATAAAACAGTGATGAAAAAAAATCAAAGACTACCTAAATAAACGGAGAGAAATACAGAATTCTAGGACTGAAAAAACTTAATATTATTAGGATGACAATTCCCCCAAATTTGATTTATACTTGCATAGCAAGTTCAATCAAAATACCAACATGATTTTTAAAAAAGATATTAACAAGATGATTCTAAAACTTACATTGAAAGGCAGACGAGCTAGAATAGCTACAACCAAAACAGAATAAAGCTGGAGGACTCATCCATGCTACTTTAAGATTTGCCACAGAGTGATCAAGACCTCGTGGGATTGGCTAAAGGAAAGATCAATGGAGTAGAACAGAGAACCCAGGTATAGATACACACAGTCGATTGCTTTTTGACAAAAAAGCACCTGGAGGCTTATAGAGCACATGCTGAGGGCACAACAGGTTGCTGAACCCAAGACCCTTTCTGGTTTCCCAGGCATAGGCACAGGCCTCTCTCCTGACACTCACCCACAGCTCAGAATGGCTCACCAGCGGACACTGAAACTGAGACACAGACTTTACACACAGGCATGCACATTGCGTTGATAATCTCAGTCTTCAAAGTTAGATTCTGCAATTCAATGGAGTAAATATTCTTTGAAAAAATTGTGCTGGAATAATTGGATATTCATTTATAAAAAACAGGAACTCTGTTCCATACCTCACATCTTACATTAAAATTAGCTCAAAACACATGATTAACCTAAATGTAAAACATAAAACTATAAAAATTCTAGAAGAAAGGCTGGGTGCAGTGGCTCAGTCTGTAATCCCAGCACTTTGGGAGGCCGAGGCTGGAGGATCATGAGGTCAGGAGTTCGAGACCAGCCTGACCAACATGGCGAAACCCTGTCTCTACTAAAAATACAAAACTAGCCGTGCGTGGTGGCACATGCCTGTAATCCCAGCTACCCAGGAGGCTGAGGTAGGAGAATCACTTGAACCTGGGAGGCAGAGTTTGCAGTGATCTGAGATCACGCCACTGCACTCCAGCCTGGGCGACAGGTGAGACTCTGTCAAAAAAAAAAAAAAAAAAATTATAGAATAAAATAATAGGAGAAAATATATGTGACCTTGGGTTTGGCAATTCATTTGAGCCAGGGAACCAACAGCAAAATCCATAAAAGAAAACATTGAAAAACTGGCCTTTATCAAAATTTATAACTTCTGCTCTGTAGAGATGCTGTTAAGGGAATAAAAGGAGAAGCTACATATTTATAAATCACATATCCAATTTAAAAACGGTATTCAAAATATAAAAATCATCATAATTGTTTGTATATGCCAGTCTTCCCCTCTGGACTGTGAGCTCCCTAAGGCAGGAACCAGTTATTATCTTTGTTTCGCCATTGCCTAAATATAATGGGCATTCTTTAGGTTTTTGTTGAATGAGTGCGTGAATGAACAAATGATGGATGGGTGGGTGGATGGGTGGACAGGTAACTAGTTTGGTGAGCAGGTGGGCGGATGGGTGATCAATGGATTTATGCATTCATGGATGAGCAAGAGTGGGGAGCTAGCATCACTGATAAAAGCAAAGGGCTTGGGCCTGAGTGTTGTCAAGGTGTGAACATGAACAATCACTTTTAGTTTCCCTCTAGCTACTAAACTAGAGCACCGGTAGACTTTTAAGGACTGTGGAGAATTTTTATCCACTTACAAAGCTTGAATATTCAATTTACTGCACTTGTAATGGGCTCTACAATGTGTCAGAAACTACTACTCTAAAAGGCAGGCACACCAATATGCCTGCTAGGAATGTGGCTAGAGTTCAAAAGGAAACCAAAACCAACAGCACAGGACAATGGGCGCAATGAGGAGGCATGCTCAGAGCCTTCGGGGCTCCAGGGGAGGATCGGTGCTGGCAGAGCTCCTGGAGGGAACACCACACTGACCCTGTGTGGAAGAAGAATCTCTTCTTCCATTGAAGGAGTTTAAGCCATGTATGACATGACTAGAGTTACCAGTGGCAGATCACTAGGAGGGTGTGAAACAGGGAGCCGTTCCTCCTTCGGCCCCTAGCCTAGCCTGGAGAACACGTCCAGTGGAGGGTGGCTGATGGGAGTGCAACTCTGATAAGATGGAAAGACTGAGAAAAGGCAACAGATACCCCTGAGGCAGTGTGAGATTGCAGATGAAGTTCAAAGCAAGGAGATGATGTGATTCAGTGCAGGGTGAGGGGGGCCAGGGAAGCTTCCTGGAGGAGGTGGCACCCTGGGGTGGCTGTTGTCGTGCTGGACTGTTCTAGAGTAAGTGAGAGTCAAACCAACTGTGTTTGACTGATCTGACCTCCCAGGGCAGGTGAGCTGGGCGGCAGGGATTCATTACGATGAGATCTGGCCTGTGTTGCCTGGCCCTGTCCACGTGGACCAGAGTGTCACTCCAACAGCAAATGAAACTTTTATAAACCATGACTTGAAAGTTGGGGACGTGTTTACTTACCATTCCAAAACACAATGTGGCAGAGACTGTGAAAAGGATGCCAAGGTAACAAGCCATGGCCCGCTGGTCAGACTTGGAAAGGCCAAGGAGGGAGTCTTTTTGGCTTCTGGGAAAATGAAATAGCAGTCCGGGGAAGGCGTCTGTGAAGGTACCAGGTGGCAGAGCCCACATAGTGAGCAGAAATCGGCGCAGGTAGGAGAGGGCAGCCAGCATCAGGGCCCCCGCCAGCTGCAGAAAGAAAAGCCAGAGAGCACTGACCTTGTCACCTCTTCTTAGGAGTGGAAGACTCAACTTCCAAATGTTGAAAATAGAGATGAACTTGGAGGGGCAGTTCTGGGAGTGTGGATCAATCACATCATCCCTGGTTTTGAACCCAAAAGGCGGTGTCGCCCTCTC